ATGAACATACAAACACTTTATTTTATAGGACTAGGTAAGTACATTAATATTTTTATAAAAATTAGGCATGTGACTATGGAGAATTCAAGCAATTTTAATCATGACAGAATAATTGAAGAGAATAATGGTAATAATAGTTTAGAATATGAAGCAAACAATAATTTAGAGTATGAAGTAAATAGTGATGTTGATAATGATAATGACCAAGAATGTGAGACGGACACTCATATGACAGATGAATTAGTTTTTTATCAAGAAGTTAAATCAATTTTTAATCCAGAAACTGAACCACAATATTATGAAGGAAAAGGTATTTTTTATAATGAAGCAGAAATAGTATTCAATTTTGAATCTAATAAAATTTCTTGTACTAGAACTGGAATTAATAAAGATATGTATTATTTAACAGATGAGGAATCAAAAATTATTAACAATTTACTCACTAAAGAAATGAAAGAAAAATTTAAATCTTATTTAATGTCTAATTATAAAGAAGAAATTATAAAGGAACTTTTCTCAATTGAAGAAACAATGAGGTTATTTGTAAATGAAATTTTTACTAACAATAATATTGATGAGAATTTAAGAATCAAAATTGTTACTTTTCTTAATAACTTATTCGATTATAATAATGAAAAAATCGCTATGTTTTTATCGGAAAATGACGAAACAAAAGATAATTCTTATATTTCTTTTTTATTGGCAAAATATTGTTATGATGTATTGTATGAGATTGATTCATTTTTATTAGAATGGATATTCAATAGTAATAAAACAAAAGAATATTATGACATAATGAAGTGTTTATATGGTATTATTTATGAAAATTTTCTTAATATGCCATCTAAAGAATTTTTAGATCAAATTCCTGAAATTGATAAAATTAAAAATTTGATAGTGGCTAATAAAGAGAATTTTATTAATTACAACATTAATAATTGTAATTATTTACATGTAATATTTAGAGTTTTTTATCCTGATAAAATTGAAGAAGCTATAAAGGATGATGTTATATTAAATCCATGGCATTATGTTTATTTTCAATTAAACTTATATGAATTAAGGGCATTTTCTTTTTATCAATTAAATAATGCTGTTGTAATAGATAATTGATTGTTGTTGTTAATAAATTTATTTAAAAAAGAATTTTATAAAAAACTTTAATGGTTTTATGTAAATATTTAAAACAATAAATTCTGTTATGTATTTTAATAATCAAATATTCTTTAATCAATTTTACTAAAAAATTCTTGATCTTTTTTCTAATTTAAAAATATTTTATTTATTCTTAAAGTAAATTATTAATAAATAATACAAAGTATATTGCATTATTAATAAAGACAAACCTAAAATTCTATAAAAATAATGATGAATTGCTTTACTTATATAAAAAACTAATTTTAATCTAAATTAGCAACTATTTTGTTTAAAATTATAATATTTTAAATACCATTTTTGTTTAAATATTTTAAAGTCTGTTATCTAATAATAAATTTATCCTAAAAATGTTTAACAGGTTTAAAAAACATATGATCTTTGTCTAATGAATTTTAAATTTACATAAATTATTTAAATAATATTTGTTTACTTTTACTAATTAAATGTAAACAAAAAAGAAGTTTAGTTTAACACTCTAATACGACTCAATTATATTATTTATGGCATCAGTTTCTTAATCAAAATTTTTATTTAATTGTATACAAAAAACAATTTAAATAAACACCCATATATGTCGTTGAAAACTTTAAGAGGAATATTACTTTTCTTATTACATGAGGTTATTGCAAAGAAAGACAAAGATGGTGTATCGGGTAAGACTGGTTCTATAGTTTTTATAGTATTGTTTGTAACGATATCATTATTATTGGCACTTATCGCATTCTGTTGTAGGTATTAAATTCTGTTATATAAATACATTTTTAAAGAAACATATACAATTTTATACTTTCTTTTACCAAAAAGCATTTTTAATCAAATATTATTAGATTATTTTGTTTAAAAATAATTTAATGTTTTTATATAGAAATAATAAAATTAAATAATCTGATTTTAAAGTAAAATAATTTTATAACTTACCACTTAATATAATTGTTATAAAACATAACATTGAATATTTTGTTTCTATTAACCAATAAATTTTATGATTATTATAAATAAATATTACTATTAATAAATTACAATTTACAGTAAAATATTATCATTTTAATAATCAATCTAAACACTGTAATTTGAACAGAAAAAATAGTTATTATGAGAAAGAAAAGCATAACAATTTTAATATTTATATTTAATAAACAAATTTTTAATAATTTATTAAATCAGTAATAAAAAATAAAATATTAATAGTTAACAGTTAATTAAATTGTATAATAAATCAACTTCAATTAACTATTTATTTATTTGTAAATAAAATGGATATATAAATAAAAAATAAATAAGACCCTATTAATATGTTAACAAAAATACTTTTAATTATATCCTATATGTTTGCAATACCAGAGGAAAATCCCAAGTTATCAGTTAAGAAAGAAAGTAAAAGTAAAAAATCCGAAATAAAGAAAGAAAAAGTTGAATCTAAAAAT